GTACCAACAAGTTAAAGATATTTTCCTGTAGATGTGCAGAATCCTTTTATAGATTAAAATAGGAAAAAAATAAGCACAAAAAATGAATAAAAAATAATATAAAAAATAACCTGGACCTTAACAGAAAATCAAAACAAATGGAAGAAATTCCAATCACATGTTTTATTTACTGCGTGGGGTCAAAATAGAGAAGTTTGCACAATACATGCTTTTGGTCGAGTTTTCGACCACGGGGACGGGGCGAGCTCTCGTGTTACCTACTACATTTTATGAGATAACGAACAGCTGTTTGGATTAATTCTCACTTCTAGCTGTCACTGATGTGTTTACAGTAAATGTTGTTTACAAATACCGCAACCATTTGCGATCACGTTTTGTAAGCAAATCCAAACCAAGTGAGATTAAAAACGCTGTGCCTTACATAACGGATTTAATTAATCGCAAGTGCAACAATTGTACTTGAGTTTTGATAACCAGAAAAAATACCGTGAATCAGTGTTGTATAGGGCTGGGAAACTTAAATGTTTTTAATCATCGTCGCCAATAGCTTACAAACAAGGTTTACACTCACTGACTCCGCTTCAAGGACAGCTGTGTAAAGTGTAGAGTGAAAAATCACAACTGCAGTGGGCGGCCGCGGATGTTGCTGCGATCTTGGAAGATCTTTCCGATTTCGTTGTGATCGTAACAGAGGTTTAACTTAGATGTAGCTAAACTCGCTTTTCCAATGTGTCACTTTCGGTTTCTACTCTCCTCTTTGTGCTGCAATCGCTGGACCATACCACCAATAGGCCCATAGCCCATCTCTTGGGTACATATGCCTATCCAATTGTTCAAAACAACATTTCGACGACGATTCTTGACACCGGTACTTTTCCCTAGAGTACATGGCCTTCCTACTTAGGAAATAAAACTACAAACGTCCAAAAACCCAGCTTTGTGCGATTTTCGTCACATTTCCTCCTAATGTTTGCTAGATATACCAATCATTGTTTAGAGATTACGTCATCTATTAAATATCAAACCTTTGTTTGGATAAAAGTAGCTTCTTCAAACTGTCACTGATATTTTTACATTAAAAGTTGCTTACAAATACTGCTATTCATGGGAAATAACTTTGATTTTCGAAAACTTTTTGTGAGAATATCCAAAACCAAGGGTGATCAATAACGTCGGGGCTTGATTAACACATTTTAATTGGTCGGAAGTACTATAGTTCTTAATTATAAACGTTGGTTTTTGGTACAGGTACTTTTCCTTAGAACCGGTGGTGCAACAAGAATAATTTGTACGTACAAACACCTCACTATTTACAACTTAGTTTTCGTTGGTGTTGCACCCTATGTATTTCTGTATAAGTTTTTCGTTTTCTGCCTGGACTCCAAAATGTCAGTTTATGCTATGAAAATGATAACACATTAAGTGAAAGATGTTTTGATAAAACCATAATGAATTTTTAAAGCTTTACGTTGTTAACGTATCAATCTTTTGTGGCTTGTGTATTTATTTATTTGCCAATGGCTTTCCACCAATTTTACAGTTTGATTACAAATTGTGAGTTGCTCATTATGACTAAATAGCCTATAAATAATAATAATAGTAGTCAAAAGTAACAATAATAAGATTAGAGTACATGCAAATACTGGGACAATGAAAGAACTAAGAGTGACGAGAAATAAATACATAGTTGAATAAATAATGAAAATATGTATACAATAAATGGCACATGGACCAACCTAGAAAACAATACCCCCGCCGCAGCAAACCTGCAGACTAAGCGAATTTCCATTTGCCTGATTGGATTTACACTAAAATATCTATTTAAAACTATCATATTTATTCACTATTTATATAAATAGTTTAACGAGTACTAAGGTTTGCTGCAATAGGGAGCGTAAAAAAGGTTTTTTCAAATGTTAATAGCTTAGTAAGATATAAATGCATTTTCCAAATTTGATCAAAATATGTTCATAATCAAGCAAACTACAACAGTTTACTTATTCTTCATACTAATAACATCGGAATTTTAAATTTACATTTTTTTTTTAATTTTCTCCGTATCCATTAGGCGCATTCATTATACGCTTGAATATACTAAATTATATGTTTTTTAAGCCCTACAAAATGGTTTGGAAAGCAATTGCTAAATTTTATGTTTTTTTGCTCAAAAATGGGAAACCCCAATTTTTTACCCCATAAAAAACCCCATAAACCCCCGTTCTCACAGTCCGATCATGCTGGTTCGCGAACTCGTAAGTTATTATAATACTTGTTAAAACTTGGTTTTTAATATCTCTATTTGCGTCGTGAAAGTTCACATACATTTCTGCCCTCAGTTTGTTTTAACTCATTGCTCAATTCTAATGAATGCCAAACGCTCTCCTTCAAGTCTAGTGAACATGTCCAAAATATGTCGCAACAAAGTTTTTTTCAGCATGGAGAACTGAAGAAATTGTTGCCTCATTGATAATCTGTATGAAGTAAATTCAAGTTGGGTCATTTTACAATTGGTTGTATTTCTTTGATTTGAGACATCCTTCTAACCCAAAGGATTTTCTCCATAGGGGAATCCTGAAAATTGGGGTGATATCAGCAATTTAATGTGTACCATTTATGAGGTATACAACAAACTCTGGGTTGTACTGGGCACCAACCATCTGCTTTGAACATAGCAGCTACACCTTTGGAAGTTGGTAAACTGTAACGTCTTTTAATGTGTTGTCTGTCAGTCTGAGTATATGCCCATCATCAGCACGTTATTGTCCCGTTGTTCAGTAGTTTCTCTTAGTACCCGTCCCAAAGTTTTGAAAGATTGAAATTATGGATTTATTTGTCGAAATAGGTTAGATAACCCTTGTATAAGATTTGGATAACAGTTTACATTTTCTTTTATTGAACAGCGTATACTATTTGCCTCTCCTGAATCAGAAATATAATCTTGACCGTAGCGACTGCAACTGTAATTCCGCGGGTGTTATTCCAATTCTGTAATGAACTTGCCGTTGAATGCATAGGCATAAAGTCCTTCTCTTGTTTGGTCAAATATTACGACTAACACTTACCATAGCAAATGAGTTGTTGAAACTTCTTATTTTTGACTTGAAATGTCTTGACTTTTTGTGGCTTCCAGTCAATAAACTGTGTATAAGTTTGCTTGTGGAACTGGCAACGTAACCTTGCCGTTTGGATATCATGAAGTAAACAATCCATTTACGGGGTTTTCTCAATTGAAGTAGAGCGAGTAACAAAAATGTTAACAATAAAAACATAAGGTCCCGCCAGGGTTTGTTTTAATCTTATACTTGAGCTTACCATAGCCAATGCATTAGTATAGTTTCTACCAATGGTCTTAAAACGTCTTGATCTGTCAGTGTTACCTGGAACATTCGATCTTTCATTAGGCAAGTTTAATTTACCACCTTACAACACGATGGGTATATTATTCTTGTAATTTATCACTTTTAATAATTTGCATATCAGAACTGGCAAATATTATTCATCTCACCTGGTGAGTGTGTATCTGGATGCCTTACTATTAGGCCATGCCTCCCTTCTTCTACTCTTCTCATACGCATAAGATCTCTTATTAATTGTCTCCACCTCCTGCTTTTAATATTTCTTCTTTGAACTCGAGGCATTTTCTGTTCTTCCAACAAAACTGATATAGTATATTTCGTACCTAGAGCCGAAAATGAGGTTTTACTGGCTCGAGATCATTTTTTTTCTTCTTCGTCTCGAACTTAAAACGATCGAGAGCTGAAAACGCCTTTTTGGACAGTGGTACGAACGCTATTTTTCACCACAAAGTTGAAAAAAATATACAGGGTGAGTTTTAAATGAGTCCCCTCCCTACTTTTTTCTACCCACGTCAGATCATTGTAGAGTAGTAAGTACTTCATTTTGACTGGGTATAAATTTTTGGCCGCCATCTTGGATCCTCCATATTGGATACAAAGTTTTTTTTTTCAAATGTAAAGGTAGGGTTGTGACCCATTATACCAAACTAGAATTTTACGCTGATTACGATGCCACAATTAGTTTTCAAAAATCTTGATCCGTTATAAAGTTATAAGGACTTAACTTTATTTTTAGCCCATTTTAACATTGTGCATTTACAAACTAAGACCATAATCTCAAAATAGTGCTAGATAAAGATAAGTATACACCACCATTCATTGTCGACCTATTTTCACTTGGTTATGACGGATGTATTTTTTTCGGCCGCAATCTTGGATCTACCATTTTGAAATGTGACAAATTAATTTGAATATGAAGGTGGTGTTGTGACCCATCATTTTCAACTACTTTTTTATGCTGAACTCAATGCCGCAATCTGTTTTTGGTTATCAGGCTTTCTTGATGAAATATTAAAATTATCTTATTTAAAATCTCAATAATTCAAAAACCGAACATGCAAATGAAAACGGCATTGAGACGGCATTGAGTTCATCATAAAAAAGTAGTTCAAAATGATGGGTCACAACACCACCTTCATATTTAAATTAATTTGTCACATTTCAAAATGGCAGATCCAAGATGGCGGCCGAAAAAAATACATCCGTCATAACCAAGTGAAAATAGGTCGACAATGAATGGTGGTGTATACTTATCTTTATCTAGCACTATTTTGACATTATGGTCTTAGTTTGTAAATGCACAATGTTAAAATGGGCTAAAAATAAAGTTACAAAAAGTCCTTATAACTTTAGAACGGATCAAGATTTTTTTAAACTAATTGCGGCATTGTAATCAGCGTAAAATTCTTGTTTGAAATAATGGGTCACAACCCTACCTTTACATTTGAAAAAAAAACTTTGTATCCAATATGGCGGATCCAAGATGGCGGCCAAAAATGTATACCCAGTCAAAATGAAGTACTTACTACTCTACAATGATCTGACGTAGTCCTGAGTTGACAAGAAATGTAGAAAAAAGTAGGGGGGGAACTAATTTAAAAATCACCCTGTATACAATAAATGCACACATCTACAACTTTAAGGTTATGTGAAGATATATTTAGGGGAATCCGCAAAAAATCTTGGCAGAGTTTGGTAGGGGTCGGTAGGGTTCGGTAGGGTTCGGTAGGGTTCGGTAGGGTTTGGTAGGGGTCGGTAGGGTTCGGTAGGGTTTGGTAGAGTTTCGTAGGATTTGGTAGGGGTTGGTAGGGTGTAGTAGGGGTCGGTAGGGTTCGGTAGGGTTCGGTAGGGTTTGGTGGCGGTCGGTAGGGTTTGGTAGGGTTTGGTGGCGGTTGGTAGGGTTTGGTAGCGTTTGGTAGGAGTTGGTAGAGTTTGGTAGGGGTTGGTAGGGTTTTGTAGGGTTCGGTAGCGTTTGGTAGGGGTTGCTAGGGATTGGTAGGGCTCGGTAGGGATCGGTAGGGGTTGGTAGGGGTTGGTAGGGTTCGGTAGGGATCGGTAGGGTTTGGTAGGGTTTGGTAGGGTTCGGTAGGGTTTGGTAGGGTTTGGTGGCGGTTGGTAGGGTTTGGTGGCGGTTGGTAGGGTTTGGTAGGGTTTGGTAGGAGTTGGTAGAGTTTGGTAGGGGTTGGTAGGGTTTTGTAGGGTTCGGTAGCGTTTGGTAGGGGTTGCTAGGGATTGGTAGGGTTCGGTAGGGTTCGGTAGGATTCGGTAGGATTCGGTAGGGGTTGGTAGGGTTTGGTAGGGTTTGGTAGGGTTTGGTAGGATTTGGTAGGGTTTGTGTTGCATTGTGCAAGTTATATTGTGTGTTATAAATATTATGTGATAATATTATATTATTATTCTTTAAATATTAAACTACCAATCTACAGCGATGTTTTGTATAAAAAGTTGTGATAATAAATGGTGAGGGCAAATAAATACCACAATCTATGGCCCTCACACATGATACATACAAATTAATTTCATAAATTTATAAAAAGAACTCATACTATAAATTTAAATTATTTTCAAAAATAAGATTAACAAAATTATAAGAGAATAAGAATTATAACTTTTGACAATTATTGTGATCAGTCGTCAACCGACGTTCATTCACAAAAGGAAATCTGAATTGTACCTGGTGATAAATCGGTTAAAATTGTTAGGCAGGTTTCACTTAAGGGAAACCACCATAACAAATAGTCTGTCAAATAGTTTGGGCAAATTATTAATAACGGAGGTTCTACATCATCTGGTGACAGGCGACAGTGAGTTTTTGGGTTCGCGTCGACCCCCCCCCCCCCACGGGGGTGTCAGCCAGAGCTTCTCTTCTCTGTTGTAGTAGTATAGTAGTGTAGTACGTCCGCAGCCGTGGTCAGTGTGTGTCGCTTGTATTCCTCCGCTCTCACACACGTGCTCTACACTCTTGGTAAGTACTATTTTACTAATGTTCATGACTGCAAATATTTTTACAAACCGAACTTTTTACTTGGCTAAATTTGTTTAACCGAGCCGGTCGGATGAAAATTTAATTTAACTTTCAAACAAATTAAGAAGACAAATTGAGGTATATTTTGAACTTTGTTGTTTATAATGATCCATTGTTGAGGCGTTTAATGTTGGCAATTTTATTAATTGGTTGGTAAATGTTAGGGTTATAGTTTCTAAAAAATTGAAATGGCTACAGGTAGTCAATTAAAGTATTTGTCAACTCCGTTTAGCAAAAACTTAATCATTCTTATCGTTTCTCTACGATAAAAGGACGATTCAAAAATATTTAACTAGACGTAAACATATTTATTTGTCCATGATTTGAATAGTTGAGGAGAATTTCGCTTACGAAAGCAACCATGTGAGAATATAATTATTAATATTTTTCCAACTATTTTATTCTTATGTTTTTTCTCATTGTTGTATCCACGCAATTCTTTTGCGAAATAAATTGACTATAATTTGTTTGAATTTGAATTGCCTTAATAATTTAACAACCGCGATAAATAACCTAATTTCGTTTCGCAATGACAACGTTTCTATTGTTTGTCATCTCTTGTTTGCAATACATTATTTATTATTTAATTGCTTATTATTGTAAGCAAATATTTAAAGTAGCCTATTTGATATAATATTAACATTTTAGAGTAGACGTTTTCGAGTAAACAGCGAACTATAACACTTAATGGTATTTGTGTAAAAGGCAAACATAATTCTAAAGGCATTGAAAATGTGTATTACTTAAGAGTGGGGTTTCTTTAAACTAACGATTTATGCGTTGCGATTGTTCTGCTTGCCTACATCTAAGGATAGTTTTTACGAGTTTAAAACTGGCAAATACAAATACGGTCTGACTAATGTAAATAAACTAGTGAATTCTCAATTGCTTTGTATTGAATATTAAGTGTCAGCTCCAAAAAACCTTTCTCGGACTTAATTTCATTTCTAAAATAAGAGGAACCAAGTTTACAATATATTTGTTTAAGTTTCAAAATTCTTTATTCGTGTGATAAATTAGTGATAACATATTTCTTTGTGCCACGGGAAAAGTACAATTGTGCTAATAAATGGAAAATCTGACAACCTCATTGAAGCAGTGTCTTCTTGAAACAAACAACTGATCTTGTTCTGAATCCTGTTTTATATAACACATACATGACCGTTTTAAGAAGACTAAAACAAAATTCAAGCGGACATACGGTACTAAAATACCAATAGCTACATGCATAAATTGATTTACTAGTTTATAAGTTAATATACATATTACATAAATAGTAAAAAAAAATATAAACAGTATTTTTGTATACTTGTCAAACAGGACACTTTATTTACTTTCATTATTTACAACAAAATGGAGGATTCTTTGTTAAAATTTGATTTCAATATCATATATATTGTATATATATGATATATATTTTTGAAATGTGTACTTCTTTACCCAGTTACTGCACAGTGTCTGCAGTTAATTAAATCTAAGTTAGTGTGCACAGTTACTGTTGTCAATTGCTTTCTTACAGTTTAAATGTTTTTCTAGCGAGCTCTCTACCACAAACACTGGATAGAGATGATTTGCGAATAAATTGATAAACGGAATAGCCTCACAACTATACACATTGCTTAGGTAACGGCTAAACACAATACGTAAATTGCGTATTTTGGCAAAAAATATATTTAATTAATTTATTTTGCGAATGTTTATGAACATAAACATATTCCTGCCGAGGCTTTGGTAATTGTTTTAAACCACAATAACCGTATTCGCTAAGCCCCGTCAAAATGTAGGTGACTCCACAATTATTGTGGAAACGATTCCACCACCAATAACGAACAAAACCCACATGTGGTATTTGGGGGAAGGGTGTGTGCAATATGCTATTTACGGGTGAGGTCCAACTAGTTGCGTTTATTTACTGGGTTTTTAGATTTATTTTATACTCTACAAGGATATTCCTTGGTATGAATATAAATGACTTTGTATTATAATTTGGAGTTAAGTCTCTTGTATCAATGTGACCTTTTGGCAAACTTAATGCCCAACAATTTTACTTTCTGTTTACAACTAATTTTAGTCAGAAAACGTTTTTATTTAAAGCGGTGGTCATCAGAAAAAATACATTAGAAATGTGTTAATAAATTTAGGATTACAAAAATGGTCAGAAACGAATTTAACTTCACCAGTTAAATTTCGTTACATTTCACCAAAGGAATATGGGTCTGTGATGCCTAGTTTACCGTCTGCTTTTATTTATGTATTTTTAACAAACAAAATAATAGCTCCTAAACTGTTTGAGATACGGCGTTGAGATTTTGCAAAAATGTTTATCTTATTTAGACCTTTTTTTAAACTATACTAAGTACTATTTTTGTTGTAAAAAATCATAAACCGCTTAAGAATGACGGCCGTTTGAAATATTTTATGCCAAATTTCACGAAAACCGTTAATTTTACAAAAATATTGTTGGATAAAAAAGTTAGTAAATTTTAAACAGTTTTCAGCTATACCTTATTTGTTGAGAATGGATAAATAATAACAGAGAAATGTGTTTTTTTGTAATGCATGACCACTTTCCTCCATTTAAACAATGCTAATACAACAGCTGATTGAATCATTTGTTTGTGTTTTTTATAAAATTATTGTTGTCTGAACTTCTCTGAACACCGGTTCTTATGGTTAGGACTTTGCCTGTTTGGATAGTGTTCTGCATACAATCTCGCCGCTCCTCTTGCACTGCCATGAGCCTTTCCAAAAAAGTAGACCATATCACAGTACTGAACGTGTTTGCTTAGAATGTGTTTGCTCAAATTCAGTACTAAACGGCCAACTTAATAACGTAAAAACACAATAAATAATGACTTTAACTAGGTTGTAAGAATCGTAAACCACTAGTAAAGACTTGCAGTAATGTTCAGTCAACAATACTTTTATAAATAACAAAAACAAATTATTCAAACAGCTGTTATGTTTTTAAAACGCAAAATTTACGTATAACAGATTATTGTAAAGATATTTGGAGAATGTAAACCTATTGTTTAAATGGAGAAAAGTGGCCATGGATTACGAAAAGAACACATTTCTCTGTTATTATTTATCCGTTCTTAACAAATAAGGTGTTATTGAAAACTGCACAAATTTTACTAATTTTTTTGTTATCTTGCAATTTTTTTGTAAATTTAACGGATTTCGTGAAATTTGGCATCAAATATTTTAAATGGCCGCCATTTCAAAACGGTTTATGATTTTTTAGTATAGCTAAAAAAAAGTCCTAATAAGAAACATTTTTCCAAAATCTCAAGGCTGTATCTCAAATCGTTTAGGCGTTATTAATTCTTTTGTAAATATACATAAATACAGACAGACGGTAAACTAGGCACCACAGACCCATGTTCCTATGGTGAAATGTGTTTGTCTTGACCTAAGCAATAACGCTATATACATTTGTCCAGAGAGTTACGGGACACCCTGTATATTTCCTTTGATATACTATTATATGTAATGAATTGTATTTATATACTGACACTTAATCCGAGACAAAGAGTGCAAATTTGCTTTTCAATGAACACAAATCTAGTTAGGAGCAGAACAAAGACAAGGAAGACTTGGTTTACATTAGCTGCTCGTGCGAGTAATGTTGTTAATTTATGTGAGGACTGGAGCACATAAAACTTCAACAGATAATCTTCAGTAGATAAATCCTTATCAGTGCTAAGCGTGAAAATCCTTATAGCCACTTAAAAACGCGTATTCAGTGCTAAACAGTGCTAAACGTGAATTACAATAGCGACCCTGTTGCTTTTGTCTGGAATTTTTAACTGCTGTAGTAAATCAGTGAACATCGATTCACGATTCTGCTACAGTGTAAAGTCGATAAACATCCAACATTAATTATAATATCACTCATAATATAATGTCCCCCAACCACCGTGTAATATACAGTACTTGTTTGCCAGTTTTTTGCACATACTAGGCCCAAATGTTTTTAAATGCCTCATTAAACTTTCAAAAACTGCTGTTTAGTATAAAACCGTTTTGATTATAGTGGATTTGATGATTTTGTACATAGAAAGAGTGAGGAGACCAATACAAGTTATCTATTAAACGATGAGTATTATATCACAAGGCGCATTTTAAAGATAACAGTCTCTTCGAATGCAAGGACTTACATTGTTGAAAAAATTTGGTCACATCGATAGCTATTGAAAATAGAATAAAGGGTGTCATTAACTCTTTTTAATTTTCCGTTTCTTTAATTCTCTTTTAGGGAATTTACATGTGCATGCGTCCGTGAACACGACCACTCGAGCAATAAAGTCCGATTTGATTTGGAATGAATAGGGCTAGATAAACCTCCAGGAATTGACCAACCCGCAATATATCTGTGAATGGGAACAACTACTGTAGAATATGTGTAAAATGTAAAATGGAAAAGTATTTTAAATGTTTACCCTTAAAATTTAAAAATGCCTGATTTTTATTCGGCCATCATGTACAGCTTAAAAACAACAAAAATATAGACACGTTGTTATACGCCTAACTAAGAACAATCTACAAAACTGTACATTTAAAATTCCCATGTAAGTAAACTGTTGTAGTTCAATCCTTTCTAAATACGTATTTTGATAAAGTTTGGAAAGTTTTTTTTATACGAAGCTCATCATTTTACCAAAACCAATTGTATTACCTTCTCTGTAGCAGAAAGCCTAAGTACTCCTTGAACATTTAAATCGAGAATGCATTTTTTATCTTGAAACATCTTAGTAAAATTCTTACCAAGCAAATGGAAATTTGCCTCGTCTGCATGTTTGCTGCAAGGTATTTACATATAATGTAAAATGTGTAATATAACGTGTAAGACCATAGTCTGTATAAGACTAAAACCCACTCACTCTACGTTCTGCCCCATTACGCTGACCCAAGAATTGTACTGTTAGGCTAGACGG